CACTAAAATCCTAGAAGACTAATCATTGCATTAGATTATGGCTGTTACGATTCAATTTATTACTATAAAACTTTTCTTGTTCTTATCAATGTTGTTGCTATCAAGAAACAAGAAAATCGGAGAACTTAACAAGTGCACCAAAAAATCGTACGCATGAATCTTGAGAAAATTTAATTTTCTAGATCAGAAGAGAGATTACTAGGGTCCTAATGATGAAAAGCTACAGGTGCATGAGAATCAGACCAGTTGAAGACTGTTCTGCTAATCGAAGGACCGTCAATTGAACGAAGGCCAATCCAACGATTAAAGGGCCATCCTGGCCAACCAGGAATAGGCATCCACGCCAAGGACTGGACAAAGTCCAACCCTCCAACAAATATTAACATGAAACTCTCTCCACAGCTCCCCCAAAGATTACCAAAGATCACCAAGGAACAATGTATGACAAGCCGACCGACTGTCACACTCAAAAACTAATCAGCTTACCAAAACGAAGGCTGACGTGTGTCCAGATAAATGGTCGATCGAAATCAACTCAGACGGCCAACCTAAGGACCTACTGACTAGAAGGTCTAGAAAGGCATAAAGATAATAAAATCCTGTAACTTCTCTATTAAACTAGGGGCAAACTTGTAATTATAGATTTTGTTCTTCTATCTCCTATAAATAAATGGACCATAGCATGTATTAAGGCATTTTGGGCTCCTTTCTAGACCCATTTTCTGTAAGGAGAATTCTCTCCCCTTCTCTCTTGTAACTGTCACTTCCAATATATAAAATGAGTCAGCCCGAAAATACCTCAGTTTTGCCCCAGAGGAGCAAATCGCTGTGCTTTTTCTTCTTCTCTCTCCCTTTGTCTCTGTCTCTCTCTACCTCTCCCTCACGGTTCCTATTGCTCCAATCCCTGGGTATGCCCCACAAGAAATATTTGTATTCATGTCATTACGTCAATCATCATACATATCTTTCACAAACTCGAAGTCTATTCCTTATTTGAAGCCCTTTTTAATGTGAGTGTATTATATGTTTTTTTTCTCCTCAAATGGAGTTGAGATGATTTTAGCCAAAATCTCATATCTTTCTATCATATTACCAGCATTTACTTTCTTTTATCATTTACTTAGTTTTATATTTAAGTTTTTTTAATGATTGAAATTGAGTAATCTTATAAAGCTGTTGAATTTCTATTAAAGATTTTTTGATACATCAATTAATACTTGCCTCATTTCGACAGGAATTGGATTAATTTCTGCATTGTTGTCTTTAAAAATATAGAAGCTTGAAGAATCTTGATTTTAATTGAGAAAATTCAACTCGTGTATTGCTTCGAGCTTCTCTTGATTGAATGAATTTTTTTATAGACATATCAATAATAATCATAATAATAACAAATTTGTAATATTAATAATTGACACGTCACCAACAAATTTTTATCATCCAACACGAATCTCGCAGCATAACACAAATCTCAAAACGATATTTTAAGCAAAAAACATTTAAATTTTGATAAAAAGTAATCCAGAGCTCCGATTTCAGCAAACTAGTAGTTAAACTTACCAGTTTGATGAGACGAACCTAATGATATGAAAACTAGTCCAATCTGAGTCAAATCAAGCTTAGATCAAGTCATTAAACCACCACCACCATTAGAAATTAGAAAATTTCTGGACACATTTGGAAGGTCAAACAGATGTCGACACTGACAAGTTTATGCTCGAATCGAGCAGCGCGACAAGACGAATCCAACGAGCTCAACATCCAATGTCTATTAAATGCGACATGACCGGAGGAAACTCTCTGGACCGTCCAATCAAAATGGTTGATATTCCTGCATTAATCGTACCCAGAACACCATAAATACACCCCCCACCTCTCACATGAAAGAGAGCTGAAGTATAGAGAGAGAGTCTGAGGCATTGAGGAGAAGCTGCAACTCAGCACCACCGCCGACCGTCGTCGACTACCGCCGACCTCCGACAACCACTGCCAACCGTCGCCGACCTCTGACAACCGTCATCGACTAGCACTAGCCACCATCGATTACCACCAACCAGACAACGTCAGTCGACGTTGCAATCTAAATAATATAGTTATCATTTCCCGTCAGCGGAATAATGGATTCCTGTAATCAACAATCAATAGTGAATTTCCTCAATTGGTCCATACATCGTGGTTTTTCCCTTACGGGTTTTCCACGTAAAAACTTCTGGAGTCATCACAGTCATCACCGCTTGCATCACCGCTTGTTTCTCTTTCATCTATGTGTGTGCTGAACTTTCGTACAATACCAAGACGATAGTCCGTCACTCTACCGTTGCGAATTTTCTAGCACAATCAATAATTATCACAATAAATATTTAATTTAAATTTTTGCATTTTAATAATAATTATTATGTGTATCACTTATTTTTTAATTTAAAATATCAAAGCATGATATTCACATCCATTTATATAATTCTAAATTGATGTCATCCGCAAAGATTTCATTAACTACCATTATATGTGCACCAAATCTTACCTGCTACCATTACCAATTGAGAAAAGTAGGTCCCACATTCCTACGCAATTACAAAATTTGAGCGCTCAATCCGCTGGAAATAATAATAAAATTAAAAAACTCGCATAAATATTTAGATAATAATAAAAAAAGAACATGCCCTCTTGTACTACTATTAAATATACATGCATAGCATTTTAAACTATTAAGTTAAACCATAAATTTCTTATTTATATATATAGACATGAAATAATAAAATAAAAAACTCGCATAAATATTTAGATAATAATAAAAAAGGAACATGCCCTCTTGTACTACTATTAAATATACATACATAGCATTTTAAACTATTAAATTAAACTATAAATTTCTTATTTATATATATAGAGATGAAATAATAAACCCTAAATAAAAATAACACCTCCCAGTAACTTTGCCTCCGCCGTTTTAGTCGCCAATATCGCCTCCCCAGAGTTTGAACATTGATCAACATGTAGAAATATCTGCTTGTAGCATTTCTTTAGCCTAGGCTCCCTCTCTACTACCTAAAGAGACGAATTAGAGGTTGTTCTAATGAACTAACCATATATAAAAAAAACACACACACAACTTTTGCCTTCTTAGTGTTTGCTTCACCCATTGTGGCTCCCATATTTCTCGTTGCCTCTTACCCTAACCCTAACCTAACCACTATTCTAATTGAAACTTCATCACCGTCCATGAAGGTTTTGGCCTTGACCTCATCAATCCATCCTGCTTTTCTTCCTCCCTCAACCTCCTTCAAGCCATTAAAAAAATTCAGAGTCTCTAAAGTACTAATGACCTTATTTCTTTTGAAGATAGGCTTTTCCCTTTTTAAATTTACTTGTGCTGAGGATTTAGATGAGGTTTTATTTGGTGGCCCATCTTTAATAAGTGGGAGATCTTTCATCTTTAAGAAATGGACTCAAGATTTTATACCCATCATTTCTAAAGATATTTTGATATGGGGTAAATTTCCTAACTTGCCTCTTTATTTTAGGTTTGAAATGAGATTCCTAAAATAGCAGTAAAATAGGCATTCAATAGACTGTTGATTTTCTTACTAGGGTAGTCTTGTGTTAATGTGAGAATTAATATTACATATAATCTCCTTGATTTTATTAGTATTCCCATGAAGTGGATATATATTTTGCAGCTTTTGGAATATGAATAAGAACTTAATTCGTGCATGAAATGTAATACATTTGTACATAATATTACCTCATTCCCCAAATGTCCCTCCTACAAGCATCCATAAACCCCAACTC